CAATTTCTGAAACTTTGATTGTATGTAGAAGAGAATTACACAAATATTATTAATAATTAAACAGCACCATTCTCTATTCCTTTCGACGCGTTATCAAAACTCGTAGTTCTTTTTCGGACTCCTCTCTACCCTTATCATTCATTATTCATCACTTCCGAACACGAAAACATTAATGCACTTGAATGTTTGTCACGCGGCAATCCCAACAACGAAATCTAAGTATAGAAGAAAGATCAGTCCGCACGCAAACGTTTTACCAAACGCACGTGGACCACATTGGAACTGAATCACATGTAATTTATATGTTAAAATCACGACAAATAGAGCTAGTATAATAATCCACAATTTTAGTTGAGAAATACGATGGAAAACATGGTTCGTTGGCACAGTCTGAGCGATCAGAGAATAGTTCGGATATTTGAAAAATACGGCGAAAGGCATCGAAACGTGGTCGCAATTTACATGTGTAAGACACGATCTATAATGTAATCTTATCTGCAAGTATTTTAACATTAGATTACCTTCACCGTGAAATTACTTCGTCTAACGTTCTTTCGTTGTTCGTGAATCGGATAAATAAGTTCGCGAATAATAAGCGTGAACTCAATGAGTCTGTGAGAATAACATTTCAGATATCACTGTGGTATCATCACTGATCTACATTCTTGTATCGATAATGCCATTATTCCTGGATATCGTGGCACCCTTGAATCTATCTCGTTCGCTGCATATCATTATAGCACCGGAATTCAACGATGACCAGCACTTGTACTACTACGTAACATTTGTGTACTTCTTCGTTGCGTGTCTCAGCGGGATGGTAATCCTAACAGCCAGCGACTGTTTAATCGGTCTACTGTTCTGTCACCATGCAGCCATATTTGAAACCGTAAGGTATACGATGATCGACATACTATCTGGGGGCAGTTATCGAACAGTTTATTGAACATTAACGATCAATGTCGAGAGATTTCTTAATATACACGTTCAATCCCAGTGTCACATGTTTGTTGCAACTAACGTTGCGTACTTTGTACTAAAAAAAAATTAAATTTCCGTCACGTTTCTGCCTAGATCGTAACTGATGGTACAACATTTACGAAGCTAACATTAAAACTACCATTACTGATTTCTCCTTTTTCAGATTATTAAAAAGATAATAGACGTTTCTCTGAAAACTTATTAAAGAAATTGGTTTAGCGATACACAAATTGAATTATAAGTCAAGTAAAGCCCCGATAAATGCAGTTCTGGAGTTTCTATAGAGGAATTTTAAAAAATCGATTCAATTGCTCGGTAGTTTTAGTGCTAATGAGACCTTTTCGAACCTGATATATTCGATTTGATAAAATAGTCTGACTATGAAGACTGTTTACGAGGAAAACTGCTGGTATCGAACGTGTTAATCAAACCTCCAATAGCAATAACGATTATTATAAATATACTATTATTCATCAATGTTATTTCATAGAAATTTTATGCAATAACAAATATTTCCAATATCAGACTACAAGTCATTGGAAAGATGTTAATAGATATTAATAGATGTCCGGTGGTAGCTGTTTTACACGTGTTTGTTTCCAATAATTGTGAAATGAAAAGTCTGAGATTATCTAAAGTAGAGTTACTATGATTTTGAAGATTCTGAAACAATTTGTATCGCGGTAATTCTTAATTGCGCTAGCTAAAAGCGTTATGGTTGCCTCTTCAGTTACCGAATAAAGAATGCGACCGACGACTGGTTCAACGCGACAAACCCGACATTGGAGAACGATGATCAGCTTTACAGAAGAATTTGCGGGGCGATGGATCTCTATCAAAGAGTTCAGAGGTACAGGGATCCTTGAACGCTATTAGCGTGATGGGGATCCGGAAGTAACGCGGTTTTTACTGTTAAAGCGAGTTCAAATACATCATGACAGTCGTAGCAATTCCATATTTCATTATCGCCATACTGATGACGATCTGCTTGTGCGCTCACATGTTCCAAGTGAGTACTTCTTTCCTGTCTCTCATATTTTCATTGCTAACTTAACAAATATTTAGAAGACTTAACACTAAAAGTACCGAGCAATTCAATTGACTTTTTGAAATTCCTCTATAGAAGCTCCGACAGTGCATCTATCGAAGCTTTAATTGATTTACTGTTCAGGTTCAGCACTCTTAAATCAATTTCTTTGATAAATTCTCAGAGAAACATCTGTTATCTTTTTAATAATTACAAAAAGAAGAAATCAAGAATGGATCGTTTTGACTTGTTCGGTAGTTTTAGTGTTAATATAGAGGAAAATTGCTGTAAACTTAGGAATAGTGTAAGGAAACACTACGTAAAATTAATATAGGGGAAAATTAATAGGAACGATGTTTTGTGGAAAGTAAATAGAGATAGGCATAAAGTGAGATTTTAAAAAACAATATAAAGAATCCTGCTCCTGAAACTATAGATATCTAGATCCATTAGAAATATAAGGATTTATCAAAATGACAGAATAGAATCTTCACGTAATCTGCGAAGAGTAAGCAAGGTTTTTTTGTATGACAGCTTGTCGTACTCCTCGACTCGCCTGACGAATTCGACTTGTCACTGATAAATGCATTGTCTACTTTACTTCATTTAATCTACTGCTACAGACAAAACCAGTTGAGTCAGAAGTACGTTGATCACTCTTTGGATGTGTTTTACGAAACGTGAGTAATTTTGATCTGTACGACCAGTTATCTGTGAATTTGATGAAAATTCTCTTAATAATTTAGGTACAATATTCAATGGTACGTATTGCCAGTCAGAGTACAAAAATTGTTGCTTCTTATATTGCAAGGGACATCGAAGGGCTGTGTTCCAGTTTTGGCTGGACTTTATGTTCCCTCAAGGAAGGGTTTCGCAATGGTAAATCGTTTTCTAACGCTGTTGAGTAAATTAAAATTCAATTAATTATGAATTAATTTTGAATTAAAATTGAATTAATTAAATAAATTGAATGATAAATTCATTCAATTTTAATTCAAATTTAATTAAAAATTAATTTATTTATGCATACTTTGTGTTTCAAAATATAGTAATAGAGTTCTCTGTATTCGTAAAAGCAAGCGCAGTGCAATCTTCGCTGAAATGATAATTACTTCCAGGTCCTCAATAAATCTTTCTCGTACCTCGCCGGCATGTACTCGCTGCGGTATAATCTTTGTTCTGAAAATATTCCGAGCTGAATGATGGGAAGGGGTTTAATGCTATAAAATATATTGTTTCTCGAAGAAGATTTTATCAATATTCTGGCGACTTCGATAACGTTTCCGTCTGTTTTGCTACTGATGTAGCGAGATACGTATGTAGCGAGCCTAATTTACTTCAATTAAAGGAATAATTTTTATGTTCATCAGAGTCAAAATTTGAAGAGGAATAGAACATTTCGTATAGGATAAATCTCTAAATTTTGACTCGACTATTCTTCGATCTATTATTAAAAAAATAATCGTGATGAAGAAATTTGATTGTTTGTTTCAACGAAATTTGACAGTATTGAATATTCTTTTTTTTTTACACGCACCTTGTATGTCGATATTCTATAAACTTTTTCCGAAGTACTTTAACCGCGAGTGTTACCAAAATTACCTGCACAATTCAATCTGCAGCGATTTCAATAGAAAACTATGATCCACGGTGAATCTATGCAACCATCTGCAACGAGTCGTTCGATTTTATACCTGATGAAATATTTTCCGTTTACGTGGTGCAATAACATTGTGCGTTTCAGATGCATTTGAAATTCTTCGATTTATGCTTATCTTGGTTGAGTTTGCACAACAAACTTTGGTTTTCGGAAATGACTATTTTTATAGGTATATATTTACCAGTCATTGGACAATTTTAAAGTTTCAAGTTATGAACTATTAACAAAATTTTCTTTGCGTATGGATGAAGACACTCACCTTCGCATCTTTAATGCGCCAGGAAAGCGTATTGATTATTCCTCAGGTGGCACGTTTCCTTCGTGGCACACTTTCGCAACCCTCCGCGGAAAATTTGTTTTCATCTCAAAATCAAGATCCTTCAAAATGAAAATTAATTGAAACTTTGATGGACAGGGATTCTTTGATTTTCACCCGATATTCGTTATTCGTTACCCACGATTGATAACGAACATTTCCATTTTTTAATACGTTAGAAATTCATCCGCTGATAGATCAAAGCGTTTCATTAACTTATAATAAATTTCTCGTTCATTCTCAATTTTATTTTAATATCAATAACAGCTTTTGTGCACAGTTAATGAAAATTTTTAAATTCCCTTCGAATATAAATATTTACATGAACAAATATTAACAGACAAAAAATTACACGCGAATCTTCTCTAAAATAAATACCGTTCGAAAACGTACTTGCGTCTTTTGTACATTCAGGAATTGAAATCTAAATAAACGCAACATCAAAGTTCGGGTTTCTTAAGAATCATTAGAAATGTTTAAACGTTAACTTGCTAACTTTTTACATTAAATTTTCTGCGTACGATATAATTGAAAAATACCAGCTGAATTTTAACAATCGCTTACCCAGCAATTTTTAACCTCTTTTCCTTCGAGATCACCGAACCAAGCTAGTAGCAAGCTGTAATTAAATACCACCTTAAAGTTCGAAATAACAATTACATTTCTATATACTCCCTTTCTATTAATATAGTATTAACATTGCCCCACTAAGCTGATATCGATCTGCATATAATGTATACAATTTAACACTAACAGTAACTACATCGATATCTCACAGTTTGTATTGGTGGAGGTTTAAAGTAGTCAAGAATTCAACCTTCGGTTTTTCATATTTTTCCACCCTCGCGGGGAAACGTCCGCGGCCGTTGCAATCCCCGAGCAGTCACAATATCTGTCAATCATCTGGCGCCAACAGTCTTTCGGAACATTTCTCCGTAAAGTCGAAGGGAAAGGAAGAGGAACGCGAAGTTATAAAAGGACCTGCAAATCGATCGTGTCGTAGTCGTGTTCCTGACGCCGCGCGGGAATGATATTTGTCGAGAGTTCCGACAACGTGTTGCGCAAGAAGCTGTCATTGCTCGTGGGCCCGTGGCTCAGCACTGATCCGAGGCTGCAGACGATTCGGAGTGATGCTTCTATCCCGTGATATTGGCGAGCATCGTTCCCGAGGTATTCTCAAGTGTCGCCGGTCGAGGAAGATGAAATCGGCGTAAGATATAGGACCTGTCGGTTTTAGGCTGCGGCTGCGGTGGACACTTAACACTAGGTCTACGGACGTTCATTGTGGTTTGTTCCATTGTTCCTAGAGAAATTGGTATTCGCTCGTTCATTAGATCTTGGAAATTCGGAACTTAGAAATAGATTGTTAGAATACATATTCGCGTAATTGCATCGATCGAGACCGACATAAACGTTTACCAAGTAATCTTTAGGAAATTCAACGTTAAGCTTGAGTGCTGGCCAACTCGATACGCCAAAAGAATTAATCGGTTAATCTTCGGTCATCTTCAATTTAACACGAATTTAGTCAACGATTGATTACTTCTTTTTTCGGACGAACATGTAATTCCTTTTCAGTTCGCTGCAGTTCTTTATTGTAACGTGTCCCGTGTGTAACTGTCTGCAGTTAACTGGTTAAATGTGTACTGTTGGGAGATAACTTGACGTCTAACTGGACAGAGGAATGATCTTTCGCCGAGTGTTCTCTTTGTAATTGTGATTGGTGGAAATGAGATAAGGTCGGATGAGAAGTGATCAATCGGTCCCGCGTTCTTCAGCCTAGCCATCGAGTGATCTAACAGGACTCTGCGTCGCTCGCGAAGTGTTCCTCGGCGTTGAGGTTTTCCGCTGAGTGTTTAGTATCGATTAATTATTGCATGATTTTGTTGGCGGCTAGTACATCAGTATCGAAAGTGCATCCAGGAACAGATGGACAGTCGCTAGTTAGGCTAAGTGCACACAAGCGGTTCGCGGTTGCATGTCGCGACGGCGATTGTTTGCGAAGAATGGAGACTAAAGTCCACTGATCCTTTTTCTTAACCGTTTGAGTATCAAACAGCGCGATCGCGCTTACATCGCCTAAAAGTGCCGCTCTATCGGTTCGTAAAGTTAAATGAAGTTTATTTATTTGTTACCCTTCTAGTTATTTATTTTCGTTATTGCGTGCCTGGAAATGGAAAAACGGGACAATCGCGTTATTTACAATTTTTTAATGTAAAAATAGAAAAGCGTCATTCAGTTTCTGAACTGAACGGGGTTTTTGTAAAAAAACGGTTAAGAGACGGAAGAACTTTATTTCTCTGTTGTTTCAAAACACTCACCTGGGAACACTTGCAAATCGCTATCAGGAGGAAACGTCTCAGATTCTCTACTAGTGTATTTGCACCTTCGTACGCGAATTTCAGACGTTTATTGAAAAGAACGCCGGTACACCTGAATGCGAATGCGACATAACCGCAGCCTTCTATACGAGGTTGACAATAAATTTGGCGAACTGGTCGTGGTGAAAAGGCTGCGTCCATCTTTGCTCGATTCCCTCGTGGTTGCCAGCGTCTAATCTAATTTCAAAAACAAGTTCCAAACTGAATCCTGTGGAATTACGGAATTAACCACGAGTGAAGTGTTCGACGCATGTGGAAATAGAAGTTTCTCAGCATTACCGCGGAAAGCTGGCATCGTTAAAAACAGATTGTATCGTACAATTTCGTTGGAATTTTGCGTAAGGATCAATTCTTTCCCAGTGTTTTATATTGTGCACGTGTTGATTGCAGATTGAGTAGCATGAAATTAGTTTTCTTTATTTTTCGTTTGTCGGTGTGGCTTCGTATTGCTGTAGAGTATCATTCTTGTCATCTCTGTAACCAGATGTCAACGATTATCCCGTCGCATTTCTCTCCGAAAAGATTCTTGATCGTTTATCTGTTTCCAGTTGTAGCTGCTTTTCTGATTCGATTGCGATTTCAGTGATACGCTGAGCATCGCGCTGCTGCTTTTTTTCGCATCTGATTGTCGCTTTGACAAGTACATCATCTGCCGATCTCGTCTCGGAACAGATTTTTGTTCAAGCGCACGGCTGAGATCTCTCTCAGTCATTAACACGTTGAATGTCATGAGGCTCACCGGTGACACCCAACCAAATGGAATTACTGTAGTTCATTGAATTGAACGATGATTATTTGAAAACATTTCTATATTATAAATAATTCTATATAGTGCGATGGCATTCAGCTAGATGAACGTGCAATAATAATAATGCAACTCGATCAAATGATTCAATATTACATTTTTTCCATCTTGTGCAGTTTCAACTATGAAATTGTGTGACATTCGGCGTGTTAACGAACAGGCTAATTAATTTGGTTGATGGTACCGATTCCATGTGGGTAACAGGTTACAACAAGCACATTTAAAAACTTGAAGTTTCCATTTAAAAAGAAAATCAAGCTGGACTTTCGCTGGCCATTAAAACGATTAGCTAATTGTAATAGTAACAGTAAGAGGTTGTAACACCGGTTTCAAGAAAATCGAAGAAATCAATTTTACACGCTGGTTGCCCGATCTTTCCACGTAACGAATGTTTGATGATATATTCACGCTATTATGTAATATATTGCATATACCAACGGTCACTTTGCATGAGTAACAGACGCACAGTGAATATTCTGTATCGGTGTTCTTGAAAGTGAAACATTCTGCGAATGAACTTCATTGCAGTAAAACTGCCTCTAACGCGATTAAAGAAATTGTCGTAAAATATACAAGAGAACCAACATTCAAGTTAATATAGTATCAAAAACAAGAAATTCGTGAACGCGAAACACTGTAACACGGAATATTTTAACACTGAAACTACCAGATAGGTCGAAACGACCTATTTTTGATGCCTACTGTTTGCGATTATTAAAAAGATAACGGATGTTTCTCTGATAATTTATCAAAGAAATTGATTTATCAATACGCAAACTGAATTGTGAATCGATTAATGTCTCAGTAGATGCACTCTTGGACTTTCTATAGAGAAATATCAAAAAGTCAGTGTAACTGCTCGATAGTTTTAGTGTTAATCGTGTTATAGGAGGTTCTGCTGTATAAATAAATTTCTTGTGAGAAATCATTGAATCTCTTTGTTCAACGTTTCAGCCGTAATGTCTTTCGTGCGTACGTGTATGTGCGTGTTCGCGAATATTGTGTGCCCCAGAAAGTTAAGCCTTCTTTTCAGTGTTGCATTTGAATTAAGCGATTATGTTGACAAGTGAACGACGAACGCTTTCCATGGATAGACGAATTTTGATGCACACGAGGGACCAGGACTTTGTAAACAGTTCCAAGGCTGAACGAAACGATAGATCCCGGCGGAAAGTGTGTCGGACTGTTCGTATTGATACGAAGGCAATCAAGTTAGTAAACTCGCTGATTTCATGCACCATTAGGTAATTACGTTAAGTTAATTAGATGTTTCGCACGTAACGTTTCTTGGAGGTTAACGAAAACCTTATGAGACAATTCCCAGTTAAGTCGCACCGTAACAGTTCCGCTGTTGATCGTTGAAACAAGTCTTTTGAACAAGTCCATGTTGAACTTTCCGTTCAAGCCATTGGGTATTGTCATTGTAAAATGAAGAATCTTTTAAAAATGTATTATGCAGTCAATTATGAGCATCTTAATACCTTGTGATTGTATACAAACTTGTCATATAAATATAATATTAAATATATTTCAAGTAAAATGTTTTATTTTAAACTAATATAGACATTATAAAAAAATATTACGTGCGAGGATGTGACTCGCTCGGTAATGTTCGGCCAGGTATTTGTTAAACTAATTCCTAGAAAAATCTATTAATTGCTTTGTTGTGTCATGCATCTTAAACTATACACCCTTTCCTTGATAGTTATGAATTTTGCATTATTTTAATCACTGTAAGGCATACTCCAGAAATAAAACGATACAATTGTAAATTGTATCTTCGGCCTGAGCGGAAGATCTTCAAAAAACGGTCTGGCACGGAACGTGTTAAACGCGAGTCACGTTCGTAGCAATTTTACAAATTGTTTAGTTTCCTAAAATTTTCATTGGAAACTAAATTGTTGGCTAGAAAATTATCGAGTCAATTGATGTTTCATTGTTGTAAGCACTGTGTTCTTACTTGTCCTAAATCATCATTGTCGTGACAACGAATAAAAAATATACGTTTTTCTGTGATTGATTCCTGTATCAATGGAAACCAATATGGCAAGCCGAATGCAAGAGGAGGTCTACAGTAGACGTCATTCTCTGTGGTGACAATGTTATGCAACCCTTTCAATGGGTGGTCGATACTGTAACATCCAAGAAGCATGGGAACGTATTAACGGCGATCACCACTATTGGAATTTATGCGTGTGCGCGTTATACGGTGGGCAAAGGATTATTGACTGTAGCTTTGGTAGTTTCTGTGGTACGTAAGTATACTGATATGAAACACATCTTCATTAGAAGTACCAATAAACGTGTCGTCGTTGCTCTAATTTACATTCTAAAGACCCTTGTTTTCAAATTCCCAGTTTCCCGAATTTCTGAATCTTTAAATCACGAAATCTTTAAGGTTCTAAGTTAAAGACAAGAATAAAACAGTAAGTTGTGACCATTTTGGGTACGACTCAAGGTGGTACGAGGATCCCCTCGAAATTCAAAAATTCTAACCTTTTCGCTGGACAACGAAGTATGAAATATTGCTATTACTCTCGAGCGTGTATCTTAATGTATCCATTTGAAAGTCTTACCACAGTAAAGGAAACCATCCTCTATCATAAAGTATGAAATTTCTTTTATTCTACATAATGGATTCGGTTCTTTCGTATTTCACAATCTTCCATTCGATCCAAAAATAACCACTTGCATCTTCTACGTCAGCAGGTGGATATTAGACAAGGATCGCGTGTAGATAAGAATTATACGAGAATTATAAAAGAACTCCTTATATAAGATTCTTCTTGAATAAGACAAGCATTGTTCACAAAAACTTGAAGCCAATTGTGGTTTTACTCACACGTATTGGTCATCGAGATGTCGGCATCGTTAATGAAAGTATAAAACAGCCGGAAATAGGTTACTATCCAGAATTTACGAGATGAACAGTACGCATGTCTGCAACGATTATATATGCTATCAATAAGCTATTAATATACACGATGCTATAATAATTTTTTAAATTATGTTGCATAGATTTTTTCACCACTTGTATCGTCTAATTACTCCGTTCATTCGTTAGCAATGCGCAAACAATTTTAACTTTCTTATAGACGAAATTCTTTGACAGAAGGTTTTAACATGTAACATTCTTTTCATAGACGAAAAATCAAGCTCACGTTTTGTATTCGGTAGAATCATACCGTACGTGAAAATTAGTATCTCATTGCGAAAGCAACGAATGGTATTTAACAGAGGAAAACATTTCTCCGAGGGAACTTTGTCTTCTTGCGCGAAACAGCATTAAAATTCTCCTGACTGAATTAACGTTTCACTGAATGCGATTTCAATCTTCTTTGCAAGAAACACCGAAGAATGAAAGTAAATTTCCAACGAGAACCGAGTTATCCAAGTAGTTCGCGACAAATCTACGAGCAAGGGAGGAACAGCTGAGCCAATACAGGGGATTTAGGTTAACCTGGCACCCTTTGGGGCCACGTTAATTCACAATTTTCAATGCAACAGTGCAGCATATTGCACCTTGTTAAATCTGCCTAAGAAAACAGCATAATTGAGAAACAAAATGAAACAGAAACAGATAATGAAAGGGAGCACAAGAAAATACAGTATTCAATTTAAAAATATTTAATTCAATTCAATTACTTTGAGTTCGCTAAGTATTCCTGATAGTCGACATTTTATTGGAAAAGATAATTTCACGCCTTACTATATTAACGGAAAAGTGTTTGTAATACGTCTTATGTTGTATTTGAGTATCACGATAAGGCTCGAGACCTTCAGTCTTATAAACTTTGTTATAGGGGTCCATTAATTCTTCTTAGCGAGACATATTAACCCCGTAACCCACTTTTCCATACTTCAGGAGTGAATCGATAGTCCCGTGACACACTAAGGACCTCAACCCACCGAATGAGTAATCCTTTCAAATCCTTTCTTCTGTTGTTACTCGATGATACAAAATAATTTTTGTATTGATTATACGAAACCTATTTTCACGAATTTTATTCGAGATCCGATACCTCCATTTTCCTCTAGATACTTAAATAAACGAATTAATTAAATAGAAAATATTGTTTCTTCTATTAAGGATTAAAATAACTCATTTTCAGTTAACTGTTCGACTTCAATTTTCTACGATTGGATCTCATTATTTTGAATGATACCTCGCGTGATAATGTACACCACAAATGCTTAAAATTCACGATTGAATAATTATTTAATTAAGAACATTCATATTTTTATTCGGATAAAAAGAGAATTTTAGATAAAATGATGTAGACCAGTGTAGCGGCACGGACAGCTAAAAGATTGAATATTCTATCGGTCGTCCTGTCCGGATCATCAAATATTCCTAACATTTCCGAGTGTCAATCAGTCGCCCTACTATTACCGCCTGCACACGAACATTTCCTCGGAAATATCTTCTATTTCCTGCTTCCTCGTAGTTTTTCTGTTCACCTGACTAAAGAAAATAAAACGAAAATCGGGGGAAAACGTAGGAACGGAAATTTATCAGTAAAAAATCTATCTTCCTGGTGGATGCTTATTTAGCTCAATGGAGTTTTCCCTGCGCCGTAACACATACCTCGGATTACTAACATTGTGTTCAAAGATAAACTTTCAAAATTCAATTTCATCCTTTGCTGTGCTACGCTTATCATCACGTTTGTAATTTCTGTTTATACGAACGTTTTGGTGGTTAAATTAATGTGAAGATTAATTCATTAATTACAATATGAATTATATTAAAATTATATTAAAATAAAATATTTAGTCATTGAATTTATAATAAAATTAGATAATTTGATGAAATATTTGCATGTAATTGTATAAAATTAAATGTTCACTGTAATTGAAATCAATAATGCAACGCACACGTTCATTTTAGTCGTAGTTATCGAATACGACACACTATCAACGCAAAGGAGAAGCTACTAATTTATGATGGATTAATCGAGGCAGTGTTGACTCGTCAAAGGGCCATTGAGTTAGTGCTTACGGATCAAGAAATGATGTCAGCGGATTCGTTTACGTGGATTCAAAAAGAAATACTTTTCTATGCATATTCAAGAAAATAATTTTTGTATTATTCATTTCGCAAGATTTACCCAAAGGCAAGTCTTCTCAGCATCTCTGTTTGTCTTTCTTGCGTTTGATTGGTGTGCCGTGATAATGGATCTGTACCATGTAAGTAGATAGGTAATTCTCCACATAAAAACCGATCTTTTTGTCGCTTGATTAGATTCCACTAAAATATTCTTCATTTCTTCGTAATACTAAATATTCGATAATGCAATCGATGATGGTCGTATGATATAGCCCACCAAATTATTTTATATTCAAATAAATTTCCAATATTTATGAAAGTAACCTGTTTCCTTACAGCAATATATAGTAAATGACCAATGAAAATGAAAGAGTGTCTGGGAAATGTTGCATGAAACATTTTCGTTCTTTTTATGTTCGGTTCAATGGAAAATATAGTGGAGGCGTTTAATAAAAGTTAATGGGATTTTCATCTTACTTGAAACTTGTCGGAACCTGTAACAAAGTGGAGAAATTTCTTTTTTATTTCGGTCCCTGTAAGTTAACGAATAAAGATCGATATTTGCATAAGAATTTTCTACTTATAACTTTGTAACAAAGCGTTTGCAGCTTACTTCGTATAATGTCCTCTTTTTTTTCTCATTTTCCTTCGAGGGGAATATGCGCTCGCAGTTCATGCCGAAGAACCGGGTGTACCCTCTATAATCGAAGTAAAATTGCATTTAAAGTTCATCCTTAAAATGATTACAGTATTCTCTCTGTATAATCTCGTTTTGTCGACTTCTTTGTAACCGCATCATTATCTGTATATAGAGGTTCGCACACGTAAATGGGATCACGTAAATAGTCCCGCTATATATTTAAAAAATAAGCGGAAAATGTTTAAAACGGAAAGGCTACCATGAGTTCCTTTCAACGATTTACCACGTTTTAAACATTTACATTGAAAACTGTTTGAGTAGTTACGGTACTTCTGCTTTGAACGAAAAAGAAAGCATAAAAGAGAACACTGTTGAGAATTACATAAGTTAATAATTGAATAATTGTTGACGGACGGAATGTCAATGAATAAGTGAAACGATATGCATTCACAATCAGGTGGAACGCATCGAAGGAAAAAGAACATTTCCGACGTTACATATCTGGGAAAGGATAATCGGTGAATGTTTCAATAAAAACAAACAGTGTTCTTACTCTGCAAAAGTGAGGTCTACGGCGATCCCGAAACGGCCATTTTGTCACAACAGGAAAGACAATGTACACGAGCTAATCCAATTATTTTTCGTTTCAACCTGCTCCCCGATACTTCTGTTCGTTATTTATTGAAACATCTCGCCACAGAGGGAAAACATACGTAGGAAAGAAACAAAAGCCAAAGGGTTTACGTGTGCGACAATTTCGCGTACAGGCTTATTGAATAAAACTTGAGAATACTATGTCTCGTAACTTTTCACCGTTATTCGTATTTTTTGAAGATTTATTCTAGAGGTGATAAAGTGTATTAGGAATTCATACCTCGTTTTGGCGACACTGGGAGTGATTTTGTTGAGCATATCTCTTGCGTGCAAATAAAATTGTAATAATGCAGGACATATGTGTTTACTTCTATATATAGTCGCTCTTCACTTGTTAGAGAAAACGTGGTTCCATTTCTACAATATATTTCATTACAATATATAGTTTTATAAATTTCCTAAAAATCAGCGATGTCGCTCGTATAGTCTACCTGCTACGAATTACTTTATACCGTTTATCGATTCTGTTACATTACTCGCAAACCTATTTTCTAAAATACCGATGATCTAATCTTGCTCATCGTGTCACTTAGCAGTAACGCGAGCACCGCTTTCTCTAAAACGCATACCCGACATATTCTTGATACTCCACTTTGAAAAATACGTCCCGCAAAATTTCTCAAATGCTCAAGACAAAAACGTGGTTCCGCCGGTTGGTACTCAAACGGTTAAAATAACTCAACGCACTACAGCTTAGAAATAAACGGAATATACTTTGTTATACACGTAGAAATAAATCAGTAAAATTTCTGTGCGGCCAGAGTACTTCTCCGTCTTAAAATCTAATACCTCATAGCATTATAGGAGCCGTGGCAATGAAGTAACATATTCTAATGAAGTGTTACAGATTTCATGCTATCTTTTGTTTCAGATAATTGAGATTTACTATATGGAGGAATATAATACCAGTCTCATATTGGAATTCATATCGAATGGTTGAATTATAATATTTTGCATACTTAAATATTGCTTTATACTTAAAATATTCATGGTCAGTTCCTCAGAGACACCTTCGTTGCAGTCCAGTTTAAAATGTGAGTGAAATATATTAAGCACACTTCCGTGCTCCATATCAACTTCGGTATAAGATTTCCGAAAACCGCCTACATTTACAGACACGAATACACATGGACACTGCTCCTATAGGGGCACAAAAAATGTTGATACTCATAACCTGCGGCATGCAGAGAGGCTGGACTCCAGTTCTTGGCGGTATCTTTCATCCATGTAACGAAGGATTATTCGCGGTAACAAAGCTTTCGCCAGTCCATTATCTATACGCGAACGATGCGATTAGGCTGCGTAGCTGCAGCGATTATTTTGGTGTAATAGGCAAACAAAGTTCTTCTGCCTCACAAGAAAAGCATAAATGAACTTCACGTCTCTCTTTACCAAAATCGCACAGCGTCAACGTTGTGGCGCCGCAGCGTAATCGTGACGCTCATCTGCACTGGCCTTAACATCACTTAGAGTTTACAGTTTATAGGTACTTCGATTATCGATATCATACTTAACGGTTATGTACTCTTTGAAAATATAATCAAGTATACCAAGTTCCATCAAACGGTCGTATATTCACGTAAGATTTTCTTTGGCAAATAATAAATGTTTCTATGCAGCATGAAGAACGTGGCTTTATCTTATACAGGCGTTTAGGGAGGACACTTATTTGACACTAAAACTGCCGTCAAAATGACCGATTTCAGTTTATCCATTTTACAATTATTCATATTTTCAATGCATTGAACATTAGAAATAATTTTGAAAATTAGTAAACAGTTTCTCTCCAACACTACGGCAAATGTCTGTAGAAATTGGAAAAGGTGTATTGTTACAATCTTCATAACGATTACATGTCAACCTCAATAAATGCTCGATAGTTCTAGTGTTAAGAGAATCCTTTGCCAGTATTTGATAAACGATGAATTGTCAACATCCAATTTGAAAAGTTCACAGGGTGGCTAAATCGATAATTTCAATACCACATAATGAAATATTGTCCGTACCTATCTTTCCAGATTGCCAGATGTGAATTTCGGTATATGCTCATCTTGATGATTTCATATTACTTACTCCCCTTACCCTTTATGTACGATTTCTCTCTGGGAAAAACGCATTCCCTAAATTTATTGAAACAACAACAACAACAACAACAACTGTCTAAGCCCGCAGACTTTTGTTTATCTTACCGCATCCCACCGTTTACCCTGCATATTACAGCACTATGCACGTTTTTGCAAACTGGCAGAAATTTGTTGCGCGTTGAATAGCCAATGAACAAATGAAATAGGTCGGGGCGGTCTAACGGCACGCAACTCGCGGTTAGATTATAGCGGCTGGCACTATAAGGTTTTCATGAGCGCACCATGATCAGCACGACATTTTTGTGGTACATACAAGAAGGTACAACCGTTTGTGAGTATTCACTAAATAATAATTTCCGAAATTACTTTTTACTGAATATTCAGTGCATGATACTGATACATTACATGAGAATCCCTTTTCTAATTACCTGGATAATATTCACGCATTTAGCAATAAGCCAGTTTGATCCGAAAAGGAATTACTACTGCAGTAATATTTCTATTTACCAGCCATGCATTATTATACGATTGTGAAACGTTTTGATACCGATATCATCGCATGAATTTCGCGTCCACGTTAACCGACTTAAAAATCGAATATGTCAATGAAAGAATCGTTTAACAATCGCTTGTTGGAATAAGCACATCGGCAGAAGCTTTATCAAATAATTTTCTATATATATATAATTCACGATAACGGAAAACAACATACCTCACGTGCGCATGATACCGGACAGCGAAGAGTAAGTATCACTTTCACTAGGAAGAAATAAAAAGTACGTCTCGATTGTTCCCGTGTTGTCGATGGACTGCGTTTTTCAGTCGCGCATAGCTCTTCACCAATGCCTCCCCCTTGTAGAAATGAAAGTGCGTGTAAGAGAGGGGCGTGAGAAATTTAACACCTACCGCACAGGTGCTCTGTGAGCAAACCGTTTCTGTGAAATGGCACTTATAATACTGAGTTTACAATAAAACTGAAATAGGAAGTTACAAACGTTAATACTGCGTGTGAAATTACAGCAACAGTCGAGAGTCTATCGATACTTTTCTACCTTAATATCTCGTACGAATATTGGAGCCTTCACACGCATTACATTGTTTTTGTTTATTCATATTTCCTTGCAAGCAGTGTTTTCGAAGGAGACGAATTCTTCGTAATTACAGAGGGATCGAAGTGATCCTGATAGTGACTTCAGAGTCAGATATCTTTCGGCCACCGGATGTAACGGACTTCTCAGGTTATCAACATTATACAGCTGTTGTATTTCTTCTAAACACTACAGGACTTTGGCCGTACAAAACTTCGTGTTTGAGAGTAAATTGAAGGCCCGTCAGTGTCATGACACTTTCGTTGGGTTTCATTGTTCAGGTAGTGTACGCGACTTCGTTTGATTGTTTCTTTAATTGACATTATTAAAACTTCATATTTTGGTGTACTAATCTAGGAAATTAGAAATATCGTTTTATCCTGTATAAGAAGGACTTCGTTACGTTGGAAGCGAAACGAATTAATCAACTTCGTTCAGCTGAGCCATCCAACTTGCATTTTATTTCAACCTCGCCTCGTCAGTATGGGTTTTATATGTATATGAGCTGAAAAGTAAAAGCAACAGTTTAAAGTGAGATAAATAATAAATAATAACGAAGGTCTCAATGTCAGTTGTAATTTGTGACGCAAGTTCCGTTTCCCAGGGTGCGAAAGCTATGTCACGCGTGTAAGTCACATTTCTGTGTAATCCTGTTCAATTTTCTAAACGTATGACCGTTCTTTTTGTTTCAGGTGAGTACCATGCATTTTCTAACCAAGATGGACGCTTAGATGGTCTGTAACTTAAGTCCGATCGAAGGTATCGTACTTACAGAAATACGCAATGCTGATTAATATTGTATAATTCAAATAATCTCGTCCTGCGATTTCTGAAAAATAACGTCACGTGAACACTTCTTAAATGATCGATTAGAAATATTGTTGCGTTACTGCTTCGTAGAAATTCAGTTGGTCAAATTATGTAGAATAACACCAGCATTGGCAGCTCTATTTTGTACGTTTATTTTGTAGAAATTTAAATTCCAATCGAAGCGCAACAATGAAGTATTTCTCACCAATGTCAAGGCAATTTATATCTAAACCAGTCGATCGCGTGTCGAAACTTCCAATATGTATATTGACAACACCTTATCAGTCGTCACCAAAGTAAACTGTGATACTACTAACGTATACTATTAATGATACTACTAACAATATTACTAGTGATATTATTAATATATATTCTATACGAATCTTCTTAGGTAAAGTACAATTATTTAAAATACACTTTCCAAACCAAAGAAGATATACGGTCGCGTCCGCTACCAAAATTTTGCGATTAAAATGTCACGGTCTAGGGAGGTGAGAAACGGTCACTCTACTCACGCGACGTATATACCACTCACCATCGAATCCGAGTAATGACAGAGCATTCCTCACTGTCCCGCTGCAATGACATTTCCGTCTTAACCGCGTTCCATCTTCACGCGTGACCTTCGCGTTCGAGTAACAACGGGGAAGTCGGTCCTTATTCGTTTCGCCTCCGACAACTTGAAACGGACTGACGATATCTGGGAACTATCGATTCCCTCCTTTCCGTCGTGTAGGAGAGAAATTGAAACTTCACGTACAGAGGAAAGAATAAAACGTAGAACCATGTAATTTTCATAATGGCCCTGCATACATTACCGTTGCGGAAGTACACCGGTCTTCCGGTTTGTGCGTGCATATGAATAAATAATTATAAAATTGCGGATTGTGTCAGTCATTATTGTCTCATTTTTACATTTCATTCTTTTCCTTCCTGCTTTTTCGAACACCGCGCGATGGTGCGAATTCGCGAGTGGGGTGGGATTGAAGTTACGACACCCGAAGAAATAAACAACACGTAGCCAGCGAGTCGCGTTCAAAACATTTGCCACAATGGTCACGTTGGAGACGTACTACAAATTCTGCATAAACATGATGTCGCTCGTAGGACTCTGGCCGTACCTTAACCTGAACCTTTGCCGGATTCAGTCCAGCATTATTAGTATCATTAATTGTTGGTTCATTACTGTTCAGGTAAAGCTTTCCGTTTCCCTTCGCATTTTTCGCGTACTGTTTATAATTATCGAACCGTTTCTAAATTTCTTATTCTAAATTTGGATTTTCATGTCCTGCGCTAGGGATCGCGTATACCCCCCCTAAAGTAATATTTACAATTCGCTGGGTCCAGGTTTAAATGTATTTATATAGAATAACGTTGTGACATCTGCGAATATTTCAAGCGTGGGACAAGTTGATTTTATATCAAAATTATTGATACTTATAAGCGAACTTTGAATATTACAGTCAGAATAACTCGGTTACCGTCGGATATACATAATCTTTTTGTAAAATTGAGTTCTTCGCTTCTTCCGAGACTCCCTGTAGGATAGATTAATGCGCAAAGAAGTTCGACTGAATCGAGATCAAAGCTGTCATTTCAACGAGTGAAATCGTCAAATAATTTTCAATGGTACAGGAATGGCGATGCCGTTGGAATTCTTTCAGACTTTACCCTTCAAAACGCGCGGGTTCTCGTGGGACCTCATGTTGAGGAACTTCTCCTGGACTTTAATGTTCCTGGGCTCTGTCATTAAGTACACCTCGTTCTGGTATCAGCGCGACACGGTGAGTTCCAAACAATTCGAGTTACGTTAACGGGGTGGAGACAGTTAGGCTGTAAAGACGATTGCAAACGCAGATTAAGGAAATAATGGAGAAGGTGAAACGCGAGTGGAAGACGGAGCACGAAGGGACGCTTCGGATACTACAGAAACGAGCCGCCGTCGGCAAGCAACAAGGAGCCATATACGCGCGTAAGAAAACACAGCGATGCTGAGAAAATCGCTCGTCCTCCCCCCCAGTTTTGCATTACACTTCGCTAACTTGCGATCCCAACTATCCTCGTCGCTTCGAGAGGACAGATGACTAATGCGACAGATTACATACACCATTTTATCCAGAAACCCAGCAGTTATGGTATCCAGCTTAACTCCGACTAACCTGTTTCCTAAATAATCGTGAACCTGTTCCGAACGAACGTTTAAGTAATTACAACAATAACTAATAGCTAAAGGATGTGGCAAAATCACTTGGTCCTTTCTGTGTACGCGGCACGAACGAATTATCGATCGTATGAAACGTGAATCGATTGACTGGCTTCTTTATAAAAATTGAAGATGAACGTCAGAAGTTACGGATGTTTCGCGCAACCCTTGTGGCCTTGAATGGACGAGCGATTCGCCAAAGCATTATTCGAATAGGATGAGAACTCATGAAACCCGATGTGTTGTTGCGCGATTATGAATGTGTTACAGTGTTCATTTACCCGTCAGTAATATGGGTGACAATATTCTACCTCTCATCTGTTTATTTGTACGATGAACAATCCGCGAACGGAACTCGAGGAAGCAGTTTCCCGTTAGTGACGGAATATTTAATCGACGATCGTAAATATGGCTTCGTTATTGCAATACATCACACTCTGTCGATCTTTTTGTGCGGAACTATATACATTGCAACGGAGACGATGTTCATTATGTGGCTGCAGCACTCTTACAGTTTATACGAAGTCGCGAGGTAACATGGACTGATTAACTTGATGCACACTCGCCGCTTTGAGCATCGCCAATCAACCACACGCACCGTTCGGTTTATTGTTATCTTTCGTTTATTCCTTCCTTCCCCGGAATCATACAATCGACCGATGTGTTTCTCGGTGAACATGATTCACTATAAAGATATCACTTCGTGGATAGACTGAGGAATGTAGAGCCTAATTGGTCAGTTTTCGTTGTTCTTACAATACGAATTTTCTATTCGTCAATACGGTTGTACACAATGAATCCGTAAACAAAATTAAAGTACAAATAGAACTATAAGCAACGAAGGATACTGTTGTTCTTGTGCCGTAGCGCTAGACATCGAATCATGTTCCAACTGTACTCACTCACGTCCAGATTGCGAACGTTTGCGAGTTTATCGAATCAAGAGTTTCCAGTGAACGTTTAAAAGTAACGATTAGAATAATTAGTTCAACGCTAGAATCTAAACAAACTGAATATCAATTTCTCTAAGTGTGATACAACAGACTGTACAGTAAATGGTCGTAAATCTAGCGTTTAGAGGTTTACAAGTAGATAATTAGGATACATATTTGCGTAACTGCATCAATCGAAATCGATCCGAACATTTACATATTTGCGTTACTGTATCAATCGAAATCGATCCAAACGTTTACCAAATAATCTTCATAAAATCCAATATGAGTCAAATTGGCTCGTTGCGTGAGTCTAGTGTTAAAAAGGTTAAAAATGTTGCTTTGCAAGGAGGAGAACACTCGGGTCATTTGCATGTCCGTAGAACGCTTTAGGAGCGCACCTTGTTGATTTGATAATTCACACTCACGATGCTACATACTTTGACTTCCAGTAACCACATCGCAGAGGCAATTCCCGATGATTCTGACTTGCTGACTGTCAAGAAGGAACTTACGGATTCGTACAGAAAGATGTGCTTGATAAGCGCGGTGAAAGCGCATACGGAAGCAAAGGTGTTAGTATCACCATATTCCGTGATCCCTTGCAGTAGGTTCGTGTCTGGGTCCGCACGGACCCATGATCAGGCTTTACTGACACAAACATTTTGAATCTTCTTATATTATCGTTCCCTCTTTATTGATAAGGAATGTTACCTTTACGTTTGAATGTTTTTAACGAACTTAAAACGACGCCTACCGCAAGTATTAAATTTGTGTTCTGCACGAGTCGGGTTGCCTTTCTTAAAATTCAAATGTCATCGTTGTTGGAACTTCATCCGAAGAGCTCATTGAAAATTCAAAGGCTAGTCGAAGGAGAATATCTCTGAATTTTAATGAACTGTAGAAATTTTAACAGCCGCGCGACTCGTTCTTTGGTCGGACTCGAAGAATCATTCAGTATTAGCCACCATTACTGTTCATTCGGATTTCCGTTTGTTCGTAAAGGTTCGTGTTGGAAATAAAACAGAAATTCGTCTTTTCGTATGCTGTTCTTCTCGTATTCGCTGTCATCTCGTTGAGCATCAATTTTTTACGCGTGAGTAGATCCATCGTCTCGTTCGCTGCGGCCGATGTGACTTCATTGCCGTTGGTTTCACTTCGTTCTAAACGCGTGTTTCAGTTTACCATAGCTTTGCAAGTAACACACGACATGAACGATATGGTGGCGTCATTGTTCTGTTCCATTTCTGAACTAATGTACATGTTCTACTTGAACTATTTGGTACAACAACTCTTGAACTTCTCCGAAAGGTTTTGCACGATTATGTAAGTTCGACGGATCGTCGAAGCATTTGAAAGGTGAAGAATTAACGAAAAGAGAATTTTCGTTAAATTTTCAGATATTCCACTCAGTGGTATACGATGTCACTAACCGTTCAAAAGATTTTGCTAATTTTCATGGTAAAGTGCTCGGACCCGGTCGTTTTCAGTTTTTATGGATTCTATAACGCGTCGATCGAAGGATTCTCGGGGGTTTGTAATTATCACTAATCAACGAGTGACATACGGTACACGTCGCTTCATCGTGTCTCACTTTCCAGCTTGTGAGGGCCACAATGTCTTATTTCATGATGTTGACATCCTTTCAATGAGAATCCATTTTTCTGAATCCAACGTTACTGGAGCAAGTAGTAAAAATATTAGTAAATGCTACTTTTTTCCCTTCGTTCCCAAAACATTGATTAATCGTTCCCAAAACAAATCATTAATGCTGCCTTTTTT